ACAAAGATGGATATAATTGTTATTATTGTTATACTTATGAATGAATAAACGATTTCAAAAAAAAAAATGCGTCCTTATTCTTGAAACAGAGGAGCAGCGTTTCCAGGAGAACGAGTGTTCTTTCTCTCAATGGAATGGGAATGATAATATAAGTAACAAAGATGGAACACTCGTTCTCCTGGGATCGCTGCTCCCCTGTTTCAAGAATAAGGAATATGATCGTTTATAATTATACCTGAAACGCAATATCCAACAAATGGCCACCACGACTTTTCTCACAGCACACAATTTTTTTGCCAAAATTTTCGATCACATTTGTGCATATTTCCGGTGGTATCTCACGAATAATACGCCGAAGCTCATCTTTCAACTCTTGAATTGTTTGGGAAATTGTTAACATACGCTTTGCTTTTCATGTAACCCCACAAAAAAGAGTCTAGTGGCGTTAGATCTAGGCGGCCAATTGACATCCTCATTTCTTGAAAGAAGTTTATTTTTAAACCCTGTTTGCAATAAGTCAATGGTTTATCTTGCTGTGTGACATGTTACGCCGCTTACCCGCTTACATCAAAATAAAAGCATATGTGAACTTGTGAACAATCCCCAAACAATTCAAGAGTTGAAAGATGTGATTCGTATCATTATTCGTGAAATACCACCGGAAATGTCCACAGATGTGATCAAAAATTTTGGCAAAAGAGTTGTGTGCTGTGAGAGAAGTCGCGATGGCTATTTGTTGGATATTGTGTTTCACATACATATACCTAATTGTTAACGATCATGTTATTTATTTGCTATAAAGTATTAAATGTTTCCTAGTTGGCTTTTCGTTTGAATTGAGAAAAACATCCGGAAACTCTTATCAGAGCACCCTATATATTTTTGTATCACCCTGTATAATATGTTCTAAGTAGGTTTTCACATGCGCCATTCTTGTAGTGTTTGTTTCGAAAAGAAATAATAACGTCAATAGCTATACTTTACATAAAATCGGATAGCTCATGATGAAATCGTAGTCGGCTGCGATATTCAAAAAATCTCAAAAACTTCTCGAGGTACTAAGGTACTCTTCTGAACTACATGCCAAAAATCTACTTAACCCTCTCTCCAGCATAATGGGGTGAACTCAAACTTTCGTAAAGAAATCGCCAACTTATGTTTCACCCTGTATCTTTCAGCAGGTGAACGGAAATCTGTTAGCAAATGGAAATTAATTAGTAATTAGAGCAGCCTTTCATTCCTGAAAATTTAAACAAAATCGGCCTGCTAGATTTTGAGTTATGGTCTTACAAAAAGTGACCAAAAATTGGGGTGTTCGACATGGGCGTCGTTTGGGGGGGGGGGGGCAAGGGGCCCCCCCGCTAGAAATAGTCTTTTGAACAAGAAAGCAGTAAAAGAGAGTTCGTATTCGTATTGCTTTTCTCCATTTTTTCAATATTTTTTAGGCACAGTAGACTCATCGTAGACTCGTGCTAGTGTGAACACACGCTTCTGTGAACCTCCCAGTAGTATGAACAGCCAGAATGAATACATTATACATATTCTGTAGTCTGAACGTATGAACTTTTGAGAATATCGGTAGTTTGAACTATTTGACTACGAATTTAAGCGTTTTCTGCCTACTTGTTGTTTTCATCGATTGTTTCTATCCAATTATGGAGTTCCCCGAAGGTTTTGAGACAAGAAACGCACAGATATGTTGAAGTACTGCATTCACTCTAGTGTGGAATACGCAAGTGGCAGCGCGTCAAGAGCACGTTCAAAATTCTATAAATCTTCAGTTCGTTGTTTGTTGTAGTTAATCAGTTTTGTAAAAATGGCGAAAAACACAATTTTTTCAACTCTCTATGGATCTGTTCTCACGAAAGCTCTGACAGTTTGCAAACTGTCAGAATGCATCGCCCATGCATGTTTTCAATGTCGTCATTCCAAGATAACTCAGTAACTTAGCTGAGCGAATGTAACTGTCAGGGACTTCCGAGCAGACCTTATATGGGAAGTCAAAAATTCTAGAAGATTCTCAGCAAGGCAATAGCATATATTCGCGCTAATGACACAGAAAGCCTAAGAAACTTTAAGATAAAGTAGGTAGCCATCCAATGCTCAGGTAGAACCATTTAGACAAAAATGACATCTCACTTAAATCAATAAACTGGGAAAATTTACTTAATGGATAGGGAATTTTTCTTGAATTTTAAGTTTAGAGACCATTGCTGACAATATTTTGCATTTTTAGGTAGACCTGCGATGGTGTGTACATACGTCTCGATAATATGAACACGTCCGGTTTTTTTGTGTTCACACTAGCGCGAGTCTACTGTACTTTGAAAAATTGGCTGACATTTTCATTATATTCAACGGAATTGAATTTCACTTGACTTAGGGCCGGTATTATAAAACACTGAACCGATGGTAGAGTTTCTAGTTCCAACCTTCGGTTGAATCCTATCAATTTGCATGGAGTCAACCGAAGGTTGAAACTCAATCATCGATTCAGGGCTTTATAATACCGGCCATTGGAAAATTACCTTAACAAATGATGCGGACAGTGAATTTGTTACGGAAAAAAATACCATCATTTTTAACAAATATCGATATCAAATAAGAACGTTAAAATGCTCAAAAAGGGACGTGGCACCGAAAAAAATTAGCCTACGGCGGTTGCCTGTAGCGCTAATGGAAATGGTCTTATTATAATACTGCCCCCCCCCCCTGTGAAATCTCGTAACGACGCCTATGGTGTTCGAGTTCGATTGATGCGTAGAAATTCACCTGACCGTCATTCTACCGCTTGCACATTCAAAAACGCGATGGTATTCTGCATACACATTAATGTTTTTGTTCGCGCGTTCATGTATGTTCGTACATGTTTTCAGACATCCACGTCCGTGTGTAACCGCCTTTACACACAAATTCCGGTACCGTTCTTCATTCATACTTTCTCTCATTAAAATTACCAGTTCAGTCTACCCATTCCGATAAATAACCCCCCCCCCCCCCCCTCCAAACTGTCACGCCACCATCACCAAAAGCCTCTCTTCCATGCATTCTTCTCTATAGATCTCACGCGTTTTGCGTTTCTCTACATGCTAATACACGCCCGTCATTCTGATACAACGTGAATCTGCATTCATCCACAAACAAACATCCCTACCATTCAGCTGCTCCCCTTATGAATATTAGCCCAATTTATTTGTGCTCTTCGATGGACTGCTTTTAGTAATTGACATGCTGTCTGGTTCTTGAATTACTTTTATGGAGACGTCTTTGAATTAGTGATTTTGAGGCTTCAATTCCTAACGCGATCCGTATTTGCGAAGAATTGAGAGCTCTGTTTTGTCGCCTTGGTAACAGAACTCTGTTGTCATCCCGGGCCGAAGTAATTCTTGGTTCACCACCTGCAATGCCTATGAGCAGCGGTGCTAGTGTTAAACCCCATTTTATTGGCCATAAAATTGCGCGACTTTGTCCTAATTTAACCAACCTCGTATCTTTAATAATAACCAAGATACCTCTGGTTAGAAAAATAGACACACTGTATATTTTTGTATGACCCTGTATAATATGTTTTAAAGTGTGTTTCCACATGCGCCATAATTGTAGTGTTTGTTTTGAAAGAAATAATGACGTGAATAGCTATATTTTACATAAAATCGCATCGTAGTGGGCTGCGATATTCAAAAAATCTCAAAAACGTCCCGAGGTACTAAGGTACTCTTTCGAACTGCATACCAAAAATCTACTTAACCCTCCCTCTAGTAGAATGGGGTGAACCCACTTTCGCAAAAAAATCGCCAACTTATGTTTCACCCTGTATCTTTCAGCAGGTGGTCGGAAATCTGTTAAGAACTGGAAATTAAATAGCAATTAGAGCATCCTTTCACTCCTGAAAATTTGAACAAAATCGGCCTGCTGGATTTTGAGTTATAGCCTTTCAAAAAGTGATCAAAAATGGGGGTGTTCGAGTTCAATTGACGCGTAGTTTATTTCATGAAATTTTATTCAATTATTTCATAAATATCCGAAATCGGGACGTCTGGAAGTAGAGGCAACCCTAGCCTAGCCCCCACCGCTAGAGACAGGGTTGCCTTTATTTGTACCTCAGAATTCTTTTATTTTATGTGAAACAAAACAATCATGTTACTTGTAAACAAATTTTTTTTTGTAAATAGATAAAAACAATTTTGACTAAATATTTAATAAAATATAAGGTTTTTGGGCGTGGCAGCCAAAAAAAATTTTCGCAGCGACCTTGGAGTAGGGGCTTCAGCCCCCCCAGCACAGATGGGCTAGAACCGCCTATGCCGCCACAACTTTAGGCTGAAAATTCTGCCACACTCACAAGAACGACAAATGCTTGTGAGTCCTTCCACCGCAATTTTTATAGTTCTATGTATACCTAGTTCACATCCAAATTTATATGTTTTTATTGAAAAGTTGAAAGAGTTTCAAATAGAAACATATATAAAAATACAAAATAGACATTGAACAGTAAAAATTTATAATGTAAAAGTTAGAAACCGGCAAAAATTTATTGAAGAGACAATTAAACAGTACAGTCTTGGCGAAATCACTAGACTCCGTTTAATAAAATGCATTTCTTTCCATTGTGCACCTTAAAAGTAAGAAAATTACATTTTTAACTTATAGTTTTAGAAACTGGTAAACTGTAACTTAACGTAGATATTCATTAAATTTCACACCTGTATAAGAGAACATTGTGGTTTTGTCAATTATTGCCTTCCCTAATTCCTCAGGTAGCGTGGGGCGATATTACCGGAATTTATTTTGGTTTACTTTTGAACTAGGGCGAAAATACCTATATTTTTCGCCCTTTAATAATTATTATCATGGGGCGAAAATACCAACACCCGTTCTAAACTATAGAGAATGTAAACCTTTTGTGTATCTTAAGAATTTTATTGAATGAATGAAATGGATATACCTAACTTCTCACTGGAATAATCTCGAGTCCTGATTGAATATAAAACTATTCTCACCTTTTCTTGCCTCTTTCTAAAAAATCCGTTTATTGAATATGATTTTGTGTAATTTAAATTCAATACTTAAAAGCGTGAAACAATTTTTGCGTTTCCATATCAATCTAATCGTTTAACACCTACATTCAAAAACCCATTCAATTAACGCATTCCACAAAAAAAAAAAATGAAGACATTCAAGCGCATGAGGCTCCGGAAAAACCTCCTTGGAGTAACGAAACTTTTGATTTTTCGCAAACGTTCCGCCGATCAGAGCGCGCTTTGATGTCAACAGGGACGCGTCGTTCCTGAAATTTCTAAAGATTCTCGCGGCGCGACTACGACTACGATAATGAATTTAATTAGCGAGTTTGTTTAAACAACATTAGAGAAAAGACGATACAGTTTTTGATTTAATTTAGTTTATCAGTGTCATAAAAAATTGTGGTTTTGGACGAGTTTTGGTACGAGTTTGTTTCAACTTTTGACGGTAAGTGAAACTTTTTTTGTTGTCATTTTGTAGATTTTTTTTTTACCTAAATAATTTCAAATTTAGTCACTTTAATCTTTTCAATGAGCTGAAGGGAAAATTTTAATTTACAAATTATTTATTCAGAAATTAGATGCAATTTTCTTTATTTAGGTATACCTACATTAATTTGTTATGTTAAAATTAAAAGGACATAATCGTTTCAGCAGAAATCCAATTTAAATGCTGGAAGTCCCACTATATCTAAGCGTAACAGACCATTAGTATAGTTAGGTACATACATGAAACGTTTCCTAAAAATATAAAACCTTTGACAAAATCATCTCCTATAAGAACTATTTCCAGATTTTATTTTCAAATGGCATGTGCACGCGACGCCGATTTGGAAAGAAACAACAAATAAAAAGTTTTAGCCTCAAAAATTTAAAATAACTTACTGCGGTGAGTCCAGAATTTTTTTACAGTATGTGCTTTTACATGCTGAAGAAATTTTTCAAACGCTATAAATCACGACTCGTTTTTGAACCTATAATTCGGTTGAGTTCCAAATAAATTTTCCTTGAACTTACTTTTGGAATAGGTATTCCAAAATGTAGGTACAGTGTGGTCATTGTATCTTGATAACATTTCAAACTGTCATAATGTAAGTAATCTGTGTAGGGAGTCATTATTTTCCATTAGAATAACTCAACATCTCGAAAACTATTTGAGATAAATTATTCAATTTTGTTTTATTTTGAAGAGCATTTAATTCTTGATTAAGACTATATAAATATGCATTAAAATTTGTGAAATTTTATTTGAGTTATGAACAATTTTCATAGGCAATGTCGGATGATCAAATTTTTTCAAAGATAAAAATGCAAAAATCAATTTTTAATTTTGTATAGGCTCTAGGACCTCAAAAAGGGAAATCACGGAAATGATTTCCTACTAAATTTGACCTCTTTCGATTGGTAAAGTCAAAAATTTAAAAAAATTGGAAAAACCAAAATTGAAATTTTTCTAAGGGGTGTGCAAGCAAATTTAATTTTCAAATATATCAAAGGGCTATATTTTGGAAACCAAAAAAGCTATCGTCCGATTGTAGATCTCAATTGGGCTTCATAAAGGTTTAATTTTGGGACACCGAGTCCTGAGGCTTCGTTTTCAAGATAATCGGCTTTGATTGTTTTCCGAAATTTGAAACAAAGTTTCAACTTTGAGGCTCAACTCAACATCTTTCTGACGATAATGAGTTTTTATTAGAAACAATACCAAATATATTAAAGGACATGTTGATTGGACACATAGCATTACCAGAAATAGTATATACATCAATTTTTCTTAATCCAGTGAACAACCAAGAAATCCTAATCCTAGACATATCAAAAAAAAAAAAAACAAACAAAGCAGTGGAGATGACGAAATACCCACAAGTGTACCTAATTCGACTGGTGGTTCCGCCATCATAGATGTAATGTGTTATGTTGAGAAGTTTAACGGCCGTAGTAATTAATTTTTGAGAAAGAAATCACAGGGATATCGGCCATGAAATAAAAATACCTACTTCGAAAGCTTGACGACATATCGATAGTTGACGTAATATAGACTGTTTGGCCGATATCCCTGTAATTTCTTTCTCAAAAAAAATACAATGTGCTACCTATATGATTGATAACTCAATTAGAGAGTGTACTTTTCCGGAACTTTAAAATTATCAGCAATAAAACCGTGCTATGAAAATAAAGGAGACAGCATTCTAATGGATAACTACAGGCCGATCAGCCTGCTTCCTGGTTTCTCGAAGTTGTTTGAAGTCGTGATGTGTGTAAGAGAATTATAAATTTTCTAAAAGACTGATATTCTATCGAAAATCAACTTGGATATATCAAAGGAAAGTTAACACAAACGGCAATTTTTCAATTTACTTTGGCAATTTTAAGAGACTTGGAAGAAAAGGAGAAATTTGGCCTTGGTCTTTTGAATCTGTCAAAAGCTTATGATATATGAGATCTTTTGCTAAAAAAATGGAAATATATTGTATAAGGGGGCGTGTGCTTGAATGGCTTGCTTCGTATTTGGAAAAATATGAAAACGGAATTTCATATAAATCAAAGATTATGCAAAATACAATAGAGGTTCCGGGTTCCCCAAGGCAGCATACTGGGACCGATTTGGTTTATAATTTTTATGAATGACATCAACACAAAATGCTTAGATATTGATTATGAATTAACGGAATATGCGGATGACACAAATGTTCTGGTCAGTAGCTCAAATTCACAGAAACTTGTTGAAAAAACTTCTCTTTTATTCCCAGAAACTGAAGATTGCTTTAAGAAAAAAACATTATGCTCAAACACAGATAAGACAAATGTTTTTTTCAGAACCAAGCAGTGACGTTTTAACCTTTCTCTGGCCCGTAGGTCAATTATTTGGTATGGCCTTTCACGAGTGATTGTTCTTTTTTATGGATTTAAATAAAATCATTCAGACGATTTCAAACTTCTAACCTGGCAGAATACGAAGACAAAAAATGTTGCCAAGTAGTATCCGGTGAAATCAAAGAAAGGTGCTACAAAATGATGGAACAAGAATGGTCACAAAACATGCTATATGGTAGGAACGTCCTAAAAGAAAATGATGGCATTGAGTTCCCAGCCTACCAATCACCACGTATGGATGCTGGAGACGTGTACTAATGGGTGCTTCGGAAGAACAGCTGCATGGCTTGGAATTAAATCCATTAGTGAGAAAAAGATGCATAAAGGGTTGCAAATGTGAAGAAAATTTGTACCACGTTGCCTGTGCACGTCCTACAAACTCAACAACAACAAGGCACGACTTCGTGGTACACCCTTAAGACACTGCTCAAGTCCCTGGGTGCTCCAGAAGAAGCTCAAAGAAACTTACAATTTGGCAAAGCAGCGCAAACACTAACAGGTTCCTACTGTAAAGTCCGTTTTTTTTTTAAAGATAATTCCCAAGTCAAAAATTTAATAACTATGTTGGCAACGAAGGAAACGAAGAAGCAAATGGCCTCGCAAAAGAAGGGGCCTCAACACCATACCATGGCTAAAGTGACCATCCGTCCCGATTTAGGCGGGACAGTCCCGATTTCGAGCTACGAGTCCCGATTTATTAAGCGTCCCGATTTTGTCCCGCTCTCAATAAATTCCAACTATCAACTTTTTATTATTATTCATTTATTTCAAATCAAATCAGAAAACTATTTCGTGCAATAGTTAGTTTTCGCAGATCTCAGAACGCACGAAGTCACAAGCATTAGCGTTGAACTCTGCTTGAGCATTTTCAATTTCCTCCCCGGTTGTGAAGGACAGTGAATTTTTTTTATAGTTGAAAATTTGTTTGTTTTTGTATCTAATTACCTATATAGGTATTCTCTAACTTAACTAGATAGGTAATTTTATTTATCACTATACCAGCATGTAGGTACCTAAAAAAACTAAAACTGGAAATAAAAACGAGCTTTTTGAGAACTTTGTGACTTTGTCCCACTTTTGGACATTCAAGATCTGGTCACTTTACCATGAACCAGAACCTTACTGTGGATTATTGAAAAGCCACATCATGGAAGAACTCAACAAATGGGAGAAAGACCAACTGTCATCATATTGGAAGCACACTCCGGAACTCAAACATTCAAAAAGGTTTATTACCCTTTCAGCAAAAAGAGCTGAGCAGCTCCTAAACATGAGCAGACTAGACATCAATGGTGGTACGACTGCTCATAGGACACTGCCTGGTAAAATATCATTTAAGGTTAATAAGCACTATGGGCAGAGCAGAAGACGATCTCTGCAGATTCTGCTCAGACACAATAGAGACCGCAGAGCACCTGCTCTGCGAATGGCCAGCTCAGTTCTGCAAGAGGCTCAAATTCCTCGAGGGGGCAACACTGTCACCTAAAGAAGTGGGCCAACTGACACCCAGGAAAATAGGTTCCTTCAGCAGAAGTCTACGCTTCCTGGAGACAACTCAAGATGTAGAGTCACGTACAAAATATCCGCAAGGGTAGCAGTGCTGAGCGGCTGAAAAGCCCCCCGCAATCTACAATTTACAATCTACTAAACAAGTCGATGTTTTTAATATAGTGGGCTTTTATATTTTATATTATAAATTAAAGGCCAGCCGTTGGCCTTCCATCCTCTAGTGGCTAGTGACCTAATTGTCCTAACGGATAAAGTGTCCCTGGAACCAAGTTAGACAGAACAGAAAAACTTGAATATATTTCAGTCAATGGAAATCAAGTTACATTAAAAAACAATACCAAATTTTTGGGTGTACAGGGTGGGCCAATTTGTACACTTTTAGGAAACGTCAATTTCTGAGCGAGATACAAAAAAATAAATCCCCCACTCTGAGGCTCAAATTTCATGAAATTTTGATTGGTGCAAACCGCATTTTGATATCAGGTCTTCAAAAAAAAAAAAACAATCAAAGATTGCTATGGTTTTTTAAACGTATGTCTTAGCAATATCTTTCTCTATTTTGTCAATGAAGTTAATGTCAAAATGTCATGTCAAAAATCCTGACCATTAAAGAATCAGTAATGCAACATACACTGGCGCCGACTACATGGGGGCATCGGGGCAGGTGCACCCATGAGCAACCTCTCATGGGTGCGGAGCACCCATGGGAGCTCTCGTCAAATATACGGAAGTACAAACTTGTTTAATGCTCATTCCGTTCCATATATTATATGGTAATATCCAGTATCATGTAATTTAAATGTACAAAACTTTGTATAAGAATTATACAAGTGGTGTGTGTGTGGTATTCTGTCCATCTGTCCTTCCGTTATTTGTGGTCAGTTCTATGCTCCATCTCTATTCTTTGTGATAATAATCGGGAAGTCCGGCCCACAACGGGAAGTCTGGCGCTTGCGCCGTATAGTGGCCGTATGCCATATAATTTAGTTTTGCGCGGGTAGTGATGGTAATGATATATCGATGTTTTGTAGAAATCAAAATATTATGTGTGTGAGAAAGCTTTAG